ATTTTAATAAGAAAAACGTTATTAGAACTATTCCATACTTTGAGGAAAGATGCTTTGTGGTACACAGTTGTGTGGCAACTGGCAACAATTCCTTAGAACCTTTTATTTTTTCAGGCTGCTATAAAATCCCAGAAATAAATACTGTACATTTCATTTCAGGAAGTGCCAACAAGTGCTACTTGATATCTCCACACAAGCACCTTACCCTCTGGATCAAATAGCATTGCACACACCTAGTGCCATATCTAGGGCCCATGAATACTATATTTTGCTAAATATGTAACAAGAATCTTTGTTTAATAGAACTACAGGTTAGCCTATTTTGGTAGAAATCATCCTTCATGTTCAATATATTTTTAGGGGGAATAAAACAATGGTTTGGATAAATCCAGTTCTGGTCACACTTTCCAAAGCAATAAGCAACATTCTGTAGAAACTTCAAAAGGCTTGAAAAATGACAAATGGGATAGTATTTCAAAGCTGCATGTTTTCGCAAAGGCAGACAATGTACAGTACACGTAATCCTTGACTTAGTTCATTACAACGCACTAAAGGATCAAAGTACTGCTCATATACTGTAAGAGTCACTACAAGCTAAGGGAAGCAAATTGTATTCTTGCTGAATGTGACGTGTATCAGTCTTGACTATATTTTTCTTGTAACACAATGATTTTGGTCTTGGCATACAGTATAAACCATATATTGCTTATAGGTCTACCAAATTTCATACATGTTGCCTTCAGGATCTCTGGCTGATCAATAGACCTCAATCCTATGTACACATGTATGAATTGTTGTGATCTATAGTTTTGGCCTTTCTGCTGATGGCGTCGTATATGCAAAATGGCAGGCTTTTGCACATGTCCAAAAGATTCTTTCAAGGCAAGCATGTTCAATAAAGCTGGATTTGCTGTTCCTTTTAATTACTTGTTGCAAATCTAGATATATCAGCTGGATTGCAAGACTATGTAATTTGCTAATGACAGACCTTTGGAGCATCTTGCTCTTTTGGTGATATAGGGGGCTGCCTCACTCCAATATGGCTCACACTGCTGTGTCCTATCTGCACAGCTCCCTTGTGAACTCAGTGAAAGAATCTCTTAATTCCACAACTGGGTACTAGTACTGCCCACAATGTAAAAATATCTCAACCATACTGCTCACAAATTGAAAGAGCTGTGTGATGTAGACAAGCTAGTATGGAACCATATGATATGAGTAAGGTAACTATCTCTAACATCGGTTGATCTGTTCCCTTGGGCTGCCCCAGTATGATCTGCCATATCTGAGTGAAGGGAATATGTGTTGTACATTGTGCAGATGATGTCTTCAGGAAGATCGTTTCAATTTTGAGGCTCCATAAAAAAAGAGGGGGGGGGGGAGACAGTCAACCAAGACCAACTCCAAAAGCCAAGAAGTCAATAATCAACCAAAAAGGCTCATTCTAGCTCAAGGCCTGGATGAACAACCAGGTCTTAAGCAGCTTATAAAAGGTACATGATTGTCCTGCCTGAAAAGTGAAATTTCTGCTTATGCCCTGTATGTGCAACAATTGCTCCCTCCTACTTTCTCTCAGAGTAAAACAAGTTTATTAAGCTTAGATGGCAATTCCTCACATTGGCAGAATAGGGTCATAAATGTTTCTCTGGAACGTGATTCCCTTTCAAATAATCATTTCCCCCTTTGATCCCTTCCTTCTTCAGTAATCCTGTCCAGATCCTATTCACAATCCCTTCAGGAGTTTTGAGTGAGCTACCCCCACCAAATGAAACTCTTCAACAGGTCCATCTTAATTTCCTGTTTTCTTCCCAGCTTCTTGAAATCTATGAGAATATATAGAAATCTGTTTCCCAGCAAGTTTATTGAAGTTCAAGAACATCTTGCTTGTTCTACAGCTTGTTTGCAGTTAAGCTCTAAGCTTAATTGCTACACACTTTCACAGATAGGCTGTATGTCTGTGTATGTTTCATAGACCAAAGTATGGATTTTGCTGAGTGAAAGAACAATGATACATCTGTTAATCTTAAAGTGACATTGGATTCACCATTACAGTAGTTATTTTCAAAGATTTAAGACTTAAAGATTGAAAATTCCAGAACTTTGAAGGCAGTTTTTTTCTCAATTCATCTTAATATAAATATCTTATTTTTTTAGTTACAATTTCCTATCAGTCCCATTGTCTGATTATCTGAATATTTTTGTCAGCATCCGATGTTTTAATATTATGAGGCGTTAGCACTGGAAATGACTTCCTTGCAATAAGTTAAAAACAGTATTTAAATTGTCACACCAGGCACTGAATATAGCTCTACTTTTCAATTTTTAAAACTGATCTATTAAGCCCTCCCATTGTCAAGATCACATTACTGGAAACGACCTTCAGCTGGCCATATTCTTTCTTCATAAGAGGTACATAGTAGAAACTGGGTATTAAACAATAAAATTGCAATTGTAGCAAACTTCTGAACTGTCTAATAAGGTGATTACTGTAGATCTTTGTCTGTTTCTTCTCTCATCTTATTTTCCGTCTTCTCTCTCCCGCTCTTCCTTTTCTCTGCTCAAGGTCAATTTCCAAAGTTCAGATTGCTTATCTTTGTGTAATTGTTTAAACTATTTATTTGCTTGCTTGCTTGCTTGCTTGCTTGCCTGCCTGCCCTTGGGCCATATCAAAGTGCTAATTTCCAGAAACAAACTATTACTAAAATTTGATAAAAGCAATTTAAAATGGAATTGGATAAAATACAAGACCGGGCCTGTCTCACATCCTATTTGATTGTTGCCTGTATAAGAGGGTGAGAGACAGATACCTCAGTCTATGTACCAAACAAATGACCCATTGGGATTCTCATATCAAAACAACGTATGTGCGATCAGAATCTGAAAATAACATTTAACACAGAACAGTTCTTAAGCAAAATGGTTCAGTTGAGATCTGCATATGTGGAACTTGATTGGGGTAGATTGCAGGGGTGACACTGAAATATAATTTTATATTTTATCTACATCTTAAATTATTGTATTCTTTTCCAATTTCATTTTAAATTGTATATTATACCAATTTCATTTTTGTTGCGATATGACACATCAGTAGGAAGTCACGTACACAGACAACCCAATACACATACAATACATATATAGGGTGACACTATAGGAACAGCTACGTGTAAAACCTGAGTCACTAGGGATTAGCCATATATGGCAATGTTTCCTGTTCCTGTACAAAATCCTGAGTCAGCTATAGCATAAGGATTAACCATATATGGCAGTGTTTCCTGTTCCTGTCTAACCTCATGTAACCTAAACCCACCCCCCTGCTTGCTGCACAATAAAAGAGAGGGGCAAAGTTTGCTCTGGGCTCTTTTCCTCTCACCAAAAGAAACCTTTGTGTCTGTCATCTTTGCCATCAAGAGGAGCCCACCCAGACAGTCTGTCTGGGTGCAGGTCGTCAGCTGATTCATCCCGGCACTGGGACCTGCAACTCATCACATTTTAATTGTTTAAATGAATTTTTAAAAAGCCAAATGATCTTCAAACAACCAGAACACCACCTACATACATGGACACCGTTGGAGAGTTACACAGAAATCAAACTGACAATATTATTGGTACAAGGCATTGGAACAGCTCAGTTCTACAGTTCTCAGTTCTAATGAGGAAAAGAAAGAAGTATTCTCCTGGTTAAGAGTAAATACAGGTGATTGCGGGAGCTATATGCATTGACTGCCTCATATTTCATACACAGACTGTGTTTACGTAAAACTTGCATATCTATAGTTAACAAATAAACCATAGTCTTGCTGGTTGATGAGTAATCCACGGGTATCACCTTATTCCCAGCACCCCAGTTACAGTCCCAGAGTGACAATGGGCAGGGAGAAACATGGTAGGACTTTTCGTTTTTTTTAGAGAGAGATTAAGGAAGTTTGAGGCTTCTCCAAAGATCTGCCCTTTCCCATAAAAGAGCACAGAGCTACAAACTGAGCCTGAAAGGTCAGCGGGAATGACTGGGAAACAGAGAAGAGCCATACCCAGAGGAGCAGTTAGCCCACAGGAGTGTGGGTGTTGCAAACCTCTTAGAAGGGATCCTCTCCCCAATTTCTGGGGCTGTAAAAGCAACCAAGAGAAATGTACTTTCAGACTTGAAAGATTATGTAATAAAGTAGAATTAGTTTATCTGGAACTGCTTCCTGTCTTACAAAGCTGAGAAGGTGGTATATATGTACATACCAAATCATACAGTGATTTAATTGAATTTAGCAGCATGTCATTCTGATTTAGCGATAAACGATCATCACCTTCAATAACATTACTGAGGATTACTTCAGAATAGTCACATACAAGTTTGTGCTATCTCAATGACCAGAGTTGGCCAATAATAAATGAAGCAGCTACCAGGCTTCTGGTTTGCCAATTAGTAGGTCACACTTGTAATGTCACACCTGTTTAACAAGCAGTAACAAAATAACTCCCAATCCAAGTTATGCTGCTAATAAAGGAATCCTGGGGATAACCAGAGGTTATGCTCATATATAAGGATTGTGAACTCAGTTAATTCTAAGTGCATCTCTGCTGTATCAGACTACTAAGTTCTGAAATAAAATAACAAGTTATTTCCGTTCCATCCATGCATCATCTTGGAGAGATGTAGAAAGGAAATGGTTGTAACATTCCCAACAATGCAAAACAGCTTAGGGGAATGTCTCTAGTGTAATAGCTCTTCTTGACAGCATTAATCTTCAAAAGCTAACACTCACAATAAGAAGAACACTGCAGAATTTCCCCTATATGGCACCAGTCCTTTCAAGCAACCTGAGACCATAAGAACTTTGTTGGTTATGGTTCCTGCAATACAAAAGAAAAGTCAGTCTGATTCTATTGGGAGCAATTTACAAGTTCTGAAAGCAAACACATGTTTAAAGAAGCAAAGATGAAAACTGCATGTATTTTATTGAAATAACCTTAAGTTATGAAATAACAATGATACTCCCAACACTTGCTCGTGAAATGTAGTTTTACTGCCACTACAATTATTTTAATACAATGCAGTGCTTGTACCATGTAACAGACATCACAGTTACCATACATTTAAAAAACAAATAGTCTTCAAATATTACTACACAATGCAAAGTGTCATATATTGTAAAATACAAAAAAAAAATTAGAATACCCTTTGTTACTTGAGTTAAACACTAATAATGACTTTATACTGAGTCGCTTAACTGTTAAATCATATTACAGGCTTAGAATTTAAAATGCTTGTTGGTGTCATCTATACTGATCACCTACTACAATGATATTTTGAAAATATAGATGTGATAAATTTTACACAACAAATGTTAAGAGTTTCACAAAAACATTTAACCACACATGAAAATCATGTGCTTAACAACTTTTATTACAAACCCAAATTATCTTATATTTCTAATTATCTCCTTTTAAAAAACCTGTTTAACTAATCTGTTTTCCATAAGCACTAATGTCAATCAAATTAATCACGTGATCATTATTCATGTTTCTGAAAAAAGATTGCTGCACAAGAGCAAAAGCTATTTCTACTAAATAGCAGTATGTAACCAGAAAGTGAACTGTATCAGTTCAGTCTGCAAATGGAAATTATATTATGAAATGTATTTTGTTTTAAGCTCTTTACAGCAGAGACAGCCCATCCAGGAATAAAAAAATCTAGACTTGGCATTTCATTGCCAAGCTCTTTTTCTATTTGCAGGCAAATTATTTTTTTTATTGATCAAATGGGGAATGTCTAGCACTTCATTTGCACTGGTGTCCTTATACACCCTTTCACACCCTTCATTCATTCTAGAAATCCAATGTTCAACCATATTTTATCATTTACGGGAAAATAATGATTTCCTGAAATTCACCTTCATTTGACAACAGAAGTGAGATCTAATGTAATGCAATGTTATAAATCATTCATGTAAATTCGTAATTTTAGTTCCAGAAAATTCCACAGTATTACTTTCTTTTCAAATAAAAGTCTGAAGTGAAATTGCCAGATCTAAACAGTTTTAAATATGAAATTAAGGCAAATGCTAGACTTCTACTATCTTATGTCATACATGTATCTCTATATATTATACAAGTATCCCCGTTTACACTGTTAACATGCTTTAGAGAAACACAGACAAGCTTTAATTCAAAGAAGCTTTACAACTTGAGTTGCAGTGCCTTCCTATCAATTTTTGTTTCTTAAAAGATACTTGCCTTAAGAATATACATGAATGGTTGTCCTCAAATAAAATCTTGGTATCACCAAAAAGGCACCAAATAGCGCCAATTAAAATAAGGTCAACAGCAGCAAAATTATTAACATAAACAATATAAAATCCAAATTATTGGAACACTTAATCCTATCCGGAGGGCAGACCTGCCATTGAAGCATTGAATTGCATGTAATTTTACTTTGATTTTTACTCACTTCTGCGTGCTCATCTCCTCTTATATGCTGCTTGGAAATTTCAGGGGGAGGGGGAATGACTTGCATTGGTGGAATGGAAAATCTGATCCATCAGCATCTCCATATTTCTGGCTGACACAACTGTACTGCAATACCTACTAAAGTAAGTAGAAATGGTAGACAAAGGCTTTCCCTTCCAACTCCACTACAAAGTACCAGACAGACCTGTGTGAACCCTTAAGCCAGTACAAAATTACAGTAGCATAAATTTCTTGCTGTTCCAAAGATTTGAAAGTAAGGTCCAAAGACAATTCTGTCCAAAAAAGAAAACTTGATTTAAGAGCAGAGCATAATGCTAGCTTATACCAGTAGAGTGAGCCTAGGTTCAAATTGTATTGTTAAGATAAACTAATCTAGGCTAAATAAATGTTTATTTAATGCTAGGAAATTTTGAAGAGCTCTGCTTATTAAAATATGGACCCAAAGAACATAGCAACACCTCCCATTAATCAATTATCTTACATTTCAGGTACATTTGGACAAATTTTGTTCTTAATTTGTGCTCATAAAAAACTGTTAGAAAAACACATTAATCTTCTTCAGATACTGACTGGTTACTATTTCTCTGATAGAAACTTCTAGAACGAGAACTGGAGTTGGCATGTTTTCGTGGAGATTTAGATAGCGATCTGGTCACTGAACCTGAGCGCTTTGGATGTGAGCGTGACTTTGTCCTTGAAGTAGAACGTCTTCGATGGGAGCTGGAGGGCGATTTCTCAGCATATTTTGAACATCTCTGCATTGATTTTGACCGCGATCTTCCTCGAGAGGTAGAATTTCTTTGAGGTGTGATTGATCGTCTTGGTGAGCTGGAATGCCTTGGAAGAGATTTTGAGCGAGACTTAGATTGACTATAAGAATGCCGTCTACGTCTTGACCTGCAAATCATCCACAGCATTAGATCTTTGTTTGATCCAAACAATTGCCGCAGTTTGTTTCCTTTATTGTGTGTTCTAGGCAGACTATATACCCAAAGTCCCCAGTTGTGTTTTGGAACTAAGGAAACTACTGTGGACATTTAAAAAAGGATTTAAAACAATCCCAGAAAGTGAACGTGGATGGATCTTTCTTAGACAGCATGCCTAAATTGTTTAGCCTTCTGCTGAAACCAAACACATTCCGAATTGCATTTTGTACATCTTGTGTGCACATTTTGTACCTTGCAATGGCAACAAGAATACAACCACTAAGAGACAGAAGGCAAAACAAAGATAACTCAGTGCTTCAAAGTTATAAAATATAAGCATTCATAGTTAACTCTACATTGTGGATCAACTCTAATCTCTAGTCCTTGTGTTCAAATTATTTTTAAGGACACAGATACACTGAACCTATACATATAACAGAAGTCATTATTTATTTGTTTATGGTTTGTCTATGCCATTCTACTCCAAAATGACTTTGAACAACATTTCCTTTCCCTCACCATCGGGTTACCATCTTTGCCATTATATTATCTTGAAACAGTTTATGCAATTGAATCATGCCCCACTTTATGAAGTAGTATTTTTTTTACACTGGTTGATATTGAAACTAACTTACTCTTTAAAGCTGTCAGAGTGTCTTCTACTCCAGCCCCATGATGAACTTCGGCTACGTGTCCTCCTTCGGCTGCGGCTTCTTGATCTTCTGTAATCCATTGGAGAACACTGGCGACGTTCTTTTGACTTCATCTGACCTGGGGCTGGAAATTAAAACAAAAACTGGGCGAATGCAAAGAAACAGAATCGCCTTACCTTGTTAGCATGCTATTACTTTTACATTTTAATAAACTGTCCCTCTCCATTGTGAGTGTCGTGGTTTTTGTGCTTGCATCATTCTAAGCAATATGAAAATCTACTTTGTTAAATAAATATTTGCAGAATAAGTAAGTGATGTGTTTATTTTCACTTACTTTTGCGATCCCCTTGTGCAAACTGTATTTCAATTTGCCGGCCACATACCCACTTTCTATTGAGGTTATAAAGAGCATCTTCTGCATCACGAACATCTTCAAACATGACTGTCTGTTAAGGACACTTTAAACATGCACAAAGCAAAAAAATGTATCATATAGCATAGACCACACATTCAAATGTTTTAAAAATAAATTATCTTATTTTTATATTCTACATAAAACTTAACAGTTGCATATTCTATGTGGTCTCTTAATTATACCAACATTTTATTAAGAGATATGCTAAGAAATATATAAAGTATGAAAGGAAGATCACATCTCCATTCAGGAAAAAGAACCAATGGCCACTATTCACTTTCAAGTGTTCAATAAATGTTTCAAAACACTACTGGCTTTGCACTCTATCAAGCTGAAGCATCTACCAGGGTCCCAGAATAGATAGAAGGTATCATTACCTTATCATGTAATCATTCCAATTTTGCACAGGCATGCAAAAGTTAGTACATAGATTTAATTTTTAAGTATTATCTATTACAAGGTTGGTGGGTATTTTGTGTGGGACTTCAAAATTCTGGTCAGCTGTTTTTGGAAATGTAAATCTCCCTTCACACTTTGTCTATATTCATACATCATAAACGTAATTGTTTTAATCATGACTTGCTGAGTAAATTATACTGGATAGATTTACATAATATTGGTCTAAAGTAAACAAATGCAATAAATCAACATCTGAAACTAATCAAAAACAGCAATAGAAGACATGTATCTGGTATACTGCAGCAATGGAAGACATATATCTGGCATACTGTAAAATATGAAGCATCTCAATATTCAAACAAAATAGAGAAGACTGAATGCATTTTAAATCCAAAAATCTTTGAGCACTGAAACAAATACAAAATTCCTGCAGAGGCTAACTTCATTTCATTTCAATGGCATATCTTTGTGTAACAAATCTGCTTCTTCTTTTATATGAATGCCAAAGTCCTGACAGGAAGGAATTTTCTGTATAACTGAGCCCTTATATATCTAGTGCATCTTTGGGTGCAAATATAGTTACAGTATACACCTTGCAATAAGGGTCTTCATTCGCACCTAATGGATAACTACAGTTTAAAATTTGAAAACATAGTCCAATATTATTCTGCCACTTATTTTCATAATCTGACTTTCTTTTCATTTTGCTGCTTTTTAAATTCTTTTACAACAAATAAATTTTGATGATTTAAAAATTGTGCTAGATAATCAAAACAAGCACTGTTGCATTTATATTGATTTTGTTAGGGAATAAATTAATAGAAAAGCCAACAAATATTCGTATACAATTATTTTGTATTAATTTAAGAAAACAGTATTAAAAACTAGAACAGTTATAAACAAACAAATTCTTGACTTGAAATGTAAGAGTTTGAGCGATAAGATACAAAAGGAAACTTTGTCAGTTACCTCCATGTCACTTGATCTTGACCGTTACTCTTTTGGGCTTGCTAGATGGACTTGACAAGGGCCGTAGAACCAACCAAATCAGACTTGGCTTTGACTTTGGAACTCGTGCAAATGTCGGAAAGCCGAAGCCTTAACTTGGTGTTGTGGCTTTGTCTTTTTCCTTGAAAAAGGACTTTCCCTCTTCCAGTTTTCTTTTTATCTTTTTCCACCCTCCCTCTTTATTCCTTGAAGCTTGAACTTTAAGGTGTCTTTTGGCTTGCCTGCTTGGACTCTATCTAACCGGGTTCATTCAAACTTTGGGGTGCTTGCCAGCCACTGTGGACTGCTTTACATTTTCTGAGACAAAGAAATAAATACATTAAGTTAGGATGCAATAACAACAATGCACCGCAATAACAATACAATGAAATAAAGGATATTGTATATAAGCAAATCCTCGTGGGCGTCTTGTGTAGAAGTCAAGCGGAATGTATACGTCTACTACAGGGCCATATCGACCAAATTCACGGCGCAAATCCTCAGGCCTGAAGTGTTTTAGAAATAAGGCAAAAAAACATGAGTGTTTCTATATAATGGCACCTGGTACCCATGAAATGTTTTCTATATTTAAAAATATTTTTAAAAAAATACTTTGTATAATCCTAAGATTTCTTGTGGTATTACTTCAAATTTTAACCACTACTTTGGCTACTTGGGGAAATCAAAACTGGCAAATATTTTAATACTTTCAAATATATGACTATTATATTAAGCAAAAACAGACAGGAACCTTTAAAGCCTCCCTTAAACTTTATTTTTCTAGTAATGGACAATTTTTATTTGTGTTTTATTTGAACAGTGAAACAATTCAGGCAGCCAGATGCATGACAAAAAGGCCACAAACAAGAACATTTCAAAGTTTTTTTTCCCTTCCTAAAACTGCTATTATACACTGTTCTCTTTTCAAATCTAAAAAAAGAGTACAATGTAGCCTGACAGATCGTACCAGGACTTATGCAGGTGAGAACACTATGAGAAAGTAAAAGCACACGTTTTTCTCTCACAAATATAGTGACAGCTGAACATGAAGTCTACACTTAAACTGATTCAGGAAAGAGAAAATGAAAACTTCTTTACACAGTAAAAATGTGATGTAGTGATGAGTTTGGAAAGGGTTACAAGAACTCATAAAAGTGGTTATGCACTACAGAGAACTGAATAAATGGGGATCAAAGACTTACTGAAGGACGGATACTAATTAGTAATTAAGAACCGCATTTCTACAATACATTATACTATGTATTGTATAATGTAACCTTAAATAGGTTAGTTATAAACATAACAGCTACAGTATAGGACAAATATTAAGGTGTTAGATTAGCATGGGGAAAACCAGGTTCAATTTCCACCTTCACTTTAGAATCTCACCTCAGAATCTAGTTATCCAGCTAACTGCTGAAATTGGGTTCTTTATTTTTGCTTCTATGTTTTCTGATTATACAACCAAATAACTAGGTATTTATACAAATTTCTGATAGGTTGGACAATAATCATTTATTCATTAGCTAAAAGGAAACTTTTTTGGACACTTGTCATAAAGAATCAGTCATTTCAAATAAACAAAAATCCTATTATAACAAGGGAATTGTCTCACTTCTCTAACAAAAATTAAAAGAAATTCCACTCTGGTTGCAACAAAGTCTTTGCATCCAAAAAATAAAAATACTATCTTTACAAACTGAAGAAAATCCCTAGAACCCCGGATTTAAACAAACTGATCCCAATTTACATGAGTCTCATTCTTCTATATCGTTATTTAGTGCATAAACAGTTTGTTTGATTCATTGCTTGTTGTTTAAGTATAAGAACCAATGAATAAAGATGGAGCATCGAAGTACATATCTCGAAAACATAATTAACAAGCTACATGGGAGGGTGTGTGAAAAGAATGGTGGTACAGATCCATATTAGAATCTTAGCAAACAAATTTTAAATGTTTAACAGCCATGATCCTAAATCAATTTGCGTTGTTCAAAATTAATCTGTTTGTTTCAATAAAGCATTTATTATGTACCTTTTGCTAATGCAAAGGGGCCAATCTACATTGCAATTATATTGTGATGTAAAACAATAGTATTTCCTCACTGTACAGCTGTCAGCTAAATTGAATTCTCCCCAAATTTTTGATGAACAAAGAAGAAAATCATTAACTACTCATTTCATCTTTAAAGAAAGAGGTGGTTTAATTCTAAAATTCCCATTAAATGAGGAATTTGATCATTTTTGAAAGAAATTGCAAAAACCCTATACGTGCAGAATATGATGCCTTGCTTCCTAAATTCTTGTGAGAATATCTCTCTTCATGGAATATTCTGATAGAAAGGGGATATAATACAGTAATGAAAGTGATCATGTTCACTGTCCTTGTGCTTTTTCATTCCTCCCTTTTCTTGCTGCAGAAAGAAACTGGCTAGATCAACAACAGGTAAATTAACTCATTAACAACATCCTTGGTTTTTCCATCAGTGGGAGTTTCCACAGCATCATTTTGTTTATATGTAAGCAACCTATAATTTATGGGTCCATTACAATGAAAACAAATTCAGTGAAATTGTCAGAGAAGTTTCCTACTCCCAAATAAATGGCAAAGGCCTTTTCTCTACTGGTACCTAAACTGTAACATAAAAATGGCCTGGAAGCATCTTTATTTTATCAGATCTCCTGATGTTGCCCTCACCCATGAGCAAGATAAACTTAAGCTGCTCTTGGCTGTAATACTAAAGGAATGTTTTCCTCCTGCTCGGATATCATCATGGCTACTTTTATCACTCATTACCTTGGGGATAAGACAGGGAAGTATAAGGAGTTGAAACAGAGGTTAACAGGTTATAGTTTAGCAATGGTAACAGCAGATTTTATAGGGATGCAGTTTTCTGTTAATGAAAGATAAAAGGGTGGTACTTCAATAGAGGAAAAAACTATACAACCGCATTCTATTCATAAAGCATTGTTTTATAATTTATACTCAGATGTATGCAGTATTTAGATTTGCATAAAGGTGTTTCAAATTAGAAGTGAGTACACTCTCTATATTTCTTGATAGCTCCTGAAAAGAGCCACAGTAGCAGCGCTTGCTCAGGAAATATATGAATTCAAGAGGCCTTCAGAAGCAGCAACATAGGTTGTCCTGTCACCATCTCACAAAGTATGAAATATATCATGCAAGATTGCTCAAGACATGCGTTCTCTAACTCCCTAGATAGAAGATCTGAATGAAGCAAATCCAGAGGGAATCGCCTGGATAGCTGAGTTGGACATCCAGTTATGAAGCCACTGCCGTACTGCATTGAAGTTTTATATATAACTAGCTCTATACCCATGCTTCGCTACAAAACTATGTGATCGGGCTTAGCTTTTGGGGAGGAAAATAAGGGGGAAAAATTGTGCTTCTGCCTGCCAGCATCCATCGGTATTCATCTGACTAGCATCCTGTCACTGTGTGAGAGAGTTGAGGGCTGTTTGGAAACTGAAGCAGTATTGCTGTGTGAGCAAGGAGACAGCAAGGAGCCTGGGTGTGGCTTAACTCAACTGTTCTGTACTAAAGCTTGTTACTGCTGTGAAATTAAAACTGAAACTCCTCTCCTCTGCTTGTCTTTTGCATTTGGAACAGATTTCTTTTCTAGTGGGGAGGGGGAGTAAAACTCCTTAGCATCAGAGTGTGTTAATAATAATATATGGAATACTAATGCTATGAGGGTCATTTCAAAAAATCTTTTCTTAAGGAGCACCTAGAAGCCAAGAGGAACATATGTACCAAATTTATACAGACTGTGTATGGGCATTTACTTCCATCCTGTCATGTTCTCATCATGCACTTAATAAGGATAGCAACAGCCATCTCCCAATTTTAAACACTTGTCCTGAATTTATACATCTACCAATAAGCCCAGGAGTTTGTATCCTTTTAAGGGGTAGTGACGGTTCCAGGAAGATGCTATGCTAGATCCAAAACATCTGACTAATTGGATTCAAATATTGTATGATCTATTTATTCTGTTCTCTTTTTAAGTCCCAGGAAGACAGGATAACTATAAAAAATTTAGATAAAGGTCTCCTATGTTAAAGAAGAACTGTTTCAATAGGTTTACTATATTCATTTTTTAAATGATAAATCTATGGAGATAAATAGGCTCAGGCCTGATTATTTTTGAGTGAAGGACAACTTGAAAATCTTGGGGTTGATGATTAGAATGGAGAATAAATGACTCTCTCACACACACAGCAACAGAAGGCAATTACAAATAATTTTGATAATACTTCAGAAAAAATTGCATGGATGCAATTATCAGGACCCAAACTCAATTGGGGGAATCTTTACCATGTATATTAGAAATGATTAAATGTTAATTAATCAGGGAACTGTACTTAAATCAGTTAAAATTGAAAAATAATTTTCAATTAATGATACTGATGAAACACAGTAGACACAGTAGACATTTTATATGTAATTGATATCTACAAGGGCAAAAATCTTATCACTTAACATGATAAGACAAGTTACTTTCAAAACATACCAAGAACTGAAACCTATACAAACAACTGGTGGCCTCTTCATTGACAGGAGAGAATTTCAGCAAATACAATCCACTTCCAAATTATAATCTCCACATCTCAAAACATACAGTACCTACCTTGTATTTAAAAAAAACTACAAAAGCCTAATTCCCATTTGCATCATTAAGTTATATGACTTTCAATTAAACCCCAGGCCTGGAGGTAATAATGTCAAAAGAAAAGGAAGGTGAGATTGAATCCACAGAATTATATCCTTGGTCTAAGCTTACATTTCATTGAAAGCACACTGGGAAGATATCAAAAATCTATGAAGGTCTCCCCAAATCTTGGGCCCAACGTGTTGGGGCATGCTGCTGGATTCCCCCAGAGAAACATACTGCTATGGTGATACAAAAGCAAGTTAAGTCTTCCTCATAGGAATTAATTTGTTGTCCCCTTAAAGCAGGGCATGGGGGAGAATTGACATTGGAAGCTCTTACTTCTTAATCCTATAGAGAGGCTTTATTTTTCCCCCCCTCGTGCTTTTTCCCATTGTGCATTCTGTGATTCTTTTAACACCCAATAAATAACATTTGAGGAAAAAATTAGCAAGGAAATGAACAACGTTCTCCTTGGGATAAGCTTCAGAGGCCTTGAGGAGCAAAGCTTCCCCAATAGGTTAATATTCGGTGCAGGTATGAAATGCACAGACTTTGGTGGGGAATTAAAACAAATAAATACCACCACCTCGAAAATGGTGACGCTCTCTTTCCCCCTCATCCCTAACCCGGGCCGCTCATTACGCTCCGTTCGAGCCCCACGTCTCTGCCTCGGCGCCCTATTCCCAAAATAGAGGAGCGACGAGCCCCGCTCTTCCGAAAAGGCCCATCGCGTTCCCGCAGCCGCTCCCTTATAGCTCTGAGCCGCCTCCCTCCACCGTCTCCTCACCTAGTGGCGTCCGCCACGTTCCTGACGAAGAGCGAGGTGTTGGGAGGCCGCGTATAGCGGGACATGGCGGTCGGAGGCCTGGGATCTCCCCTTCGGGAACAGACCAGCTGCGAGCCGAGCAACACGAGCTCGAGATGGAGGAGGAAGAGAAGGAGGCGGCGGCTGCGGCTGCGGCGGAAAAGGCCGGGAGGGCGACGGCGAGCGGCGCCGCGGCGGCCACAGTGCACAGAGGCCCGAAAGAGTCGGCGAGGGGGCGGGAACAATGGCGAGAGCCGGAGGTGGAGAGAGAAAGGGCCGCGCAAGTCTCCTCCTACAGGTCGCGGCCTCGCTAGACACCGCGGGAGTTGTCCCAGGAACTGCGGAGAGGGGAAGAGTGGTGGGGGGAAGACGCTGGATTTTCAACAGGGCCGGAGGCTTCGGGTTTCGCGGAGTCTCTCATGCGGCTGGGAAACCGATCAGGCTCAGTCGAGTTCTGGCATCTTTAGAAGCAGCCGGGCATCCCGGGTCCTTCAGTGGTTCCCTCCCTCCTCCCCAACTCTTCAATTTATTTCATTCTAGCATCATAAATAGGAACTCTCCCAACGATGAAGGGCTTTTTACTGAAATAAAGAGCAATCCGTCAATATCTAGAGAGCAATAGGGATGCAAGAAGAGCAAGTTTATTATGTATCTAGCATTACACATCCCTTCCCCAAGATTCTGGACTGTTCACAAGCATTTTTTTAAAAACCTAGTAAGAAATCCGGTAAAATAACATAATCTCCAACGACCCACTATCTCCAGCCTATAAAATAAAATCCCAACTAAAGGTAACCCACCATCATTGCTAAGTTTCAAAACAAAATAGTCTTTCCTGCCTTACAAAGGGTCAAATGGGACATTCCTGGTTAACTAAGTCCACTATGACATCAATACAAGTCAAATAATTCTATGTAAAGAAACCCACAAAATTGAAAGAAGGGCAGTACAACAGAATGTAGGAAATACTTCAGAGCTGCTGGTTTTGCCTATTTCTTTCCATATGGAAGTCTTTTTTAAGTGTTGATAAAACAGAAGAGGCAAATTTACTTAAAAGATCAGTCCCCATGAGGATTTTTTCTTTTCTAGTCTTGGATTTTTGACGTCATCCTGAGTTGTAATACTAATGAGTGGTGTCTCCAGAAAAGATCTGTTTGGAAGGATTACATTAACTGGGATATTGGCTGAAACAACTTTCTTCCGCTTTCTATCTGGGCAGCCAGTTGGGAGTTCTTTAAGAGCTTTTGGCTCCCTACCCCTTTTCTTCCAAGGATAAATATCTAAAACTTAAGTGTTCTCAGAAATCTGATTTGTTACATTTTATGAAATTTTTAAGCCCAGTCTGTATTGACACCTGCCGACTGTATAACTAGAATAGAATAGAATTCTATTATTGACCAAGTGCGATTGGACACACAAGAAATTTGTCTTGGTGCAAATGCTCTCTGTGTACATAAAAGAAGATACATTCATCAAGAGTCAAGAATCATAAGATACAACATTTAATAATAGTCATAGAGTACAATAAGCAATCAAATCATAGTATGAAACAATATAAATCATAAGGATACAAGCGACAAAGTTACAGTCATACAGGCACAAGTGGGAAGGGATGGGTGAGAAGGAGTGATGAGAAGATTAACAGGAATAGTGCAGACTTTGTAAATATTGGACAATGTTGAGGGAATTATTTGTTTAGCAGTGATGGCATTTGGGAGAAAACTGTCCTTGTGTCTAGTTGTTCTGTGTGCAGTGCTCTATAGCATCGTTTTGAGGGTAAGAGTTGAAAGTTTATGTCCAGGATGTGAGGGGTCTGTAAATATTTTCACAGCCCTCTTTTTGACTCGTGCAGTATACAGGTCCTCGATGGAAGAGAGGTTGATATAATTATTTTTTCTGCAGTCCTGATTACTCTCTAAAGTCTGTGTCTGTCTTGTTGGGTTGCAGAACAAAACCAGACAGATATAGAGGTGCAGATGATACACTTAATCATTCCTCTGTAGAACTGTATCAGCAGCTCTTTGGGTAGTTTGAGCTTTCTGAGTTGGCACAGAAAGAACATTCTTTGTTGTGCTTTTTTGATGATGTTTTTGATTTTAGATCTTGTGATATAATAGAACCTAGAAATTTGAAGGTCTCTACTGTTGATACTGTGTTATCTAGTATTGTAAGAGGTGGTAGTATGGGAGGGTTTCTCCTAAAGTCTACCACCATTTTTACGGTTTGAGTGTGTTCAGTTCCAGATTGTTTTGGTTACACCACGAGGCAAGTTGTACAACCTCCTGTATGCGGATTCATCGTTTTCTCAAATGAGACCAATCACTGTTGTATCATCTGAAAACTTCAGTATTTTAACAGATGGATTGTTTGAGAAGCAATCATTGGTATATAGGGAAAAGCCAAGTAGAGAAAGCACAGAGCCTTGGGGGAGGGGCTATGCTGATTATACAGGTATCAGATGTGATTCTGCCTAGCTTCACGTGCTGCTTCCTGTCTGTTAGGAAGCTTATGTTCTACTTAGAAGTGTCTATGTAGTTTCTTGGCAAGATTGTATTTTGCTCTTGCCTGCTTCCAAGGGCTGAGTATGTCTGGTCCAAGATCACACAGCTGGCTAAAGTAGGACTACAATCATAGCCACCTGTTTTCTAGTCTGATGCCTTAACCATTACACCAAATACCAAACTCTCATTCTTGGTCCAGGCTTTTTATATTTACAACTATATTCATTTAAGCTTTTGCTCTTTATATTCTCCTTCTTATCCCATTTTTCTAAATGTACCTTTCTTTTTATTTTGTGCAGAATTCAAGGTAGGAAATTGTTAGGACTCCAGGGGCTATAGCAACTCTGAAGACACATACTATTTTGAGTTCCATAATAAAAACATTTTCATCCATTGAAGAGGTAATTTGTTTATTACGCCCTGCCTGTTCTTGGCTGTTGGGAGAAGAAACAGAATGAAAACTGCCATACAGAAGTTCCATGTGGTTTTTGTTTTTTTCCCTCTTTGTTGCTGCTTTCTTGGAAGTAAAGGGTTTTTCCCCCTTTTCAGTACTATGACTTGGCAAAGCTGGTGAGTGGTTTGTTTTTCCACCAGTAAGAACACTTGTCTCATCTACCTCCTGGATTCACGGGAAACATTCTTTCTTACATATTCTCCCCTCCCAGATCATCTGTGTCTTGTTCCTGTATGTGTCCACTCATCTCCACTCCAGTAAGCTCAATCATAGTTACCATAATTGGGAAAAATATATTGCAAAATCTGTTGTAAAAATGCCAGTGTGTTCCATTTTTACCTTAACAAATCAAAAAGATGCTTTTCAAGCCAGGATAGTGAGAGCTAATTCACTCTAGTGATTAAGGCACCATCATGATTATTTCATATTTGTCCAATAAGCATGGCATCTCATCTTTGTCTGTTATATTTGGTTAAAAGTTTTTGAATAGATATACCTGAGAAGTTGTAGGAATATTCTTAGAATCTGCCTGTACACATCAGTCTGTATCTCATCTCAAACATAAAAGATTTGATTTTTAAAGCTTTCTGAAAGTACAGTTTCATTCACTTAAGGATATATCTGTCAGTATAATTGATTTTTCTTCAATCCCCAAAACAGGAAAGGAAAACTCCTAATGTGTTCATGCAAATATGACCATACGTTGCTGAAGCCTACTCATGCTGACATCAGGGACTATTTTAAAATTGCAAAGAAATATTAGGGATTCATACAATTTAGACTAATTGTTTTAACACAGCAAATATTTTGGCATGTGAAAAATAAAATGTAAGTCTTAATTCATCCAATAACTGTGTCTTGAAAAAAGGGCAAATATACAGTGTTATTTTCTGTGTTGTTTTATCAAGTTAACAAACAAATTTATTAAAGCAGCAGTCCCCAAACTTTCTGGCTCCACAGACCAGCAACAGTAGTGGCGGAGAGGGGATAGTTTTGCACACCTACCCACCCGCCTACTATTTGCACAAATGGAGCTTTACGCCTTTGCCCATTGCCTGTGCAGCCCGGTTCCAGCTGGGCTGCAGCCTGGTTACTGGGCCACAGACCAGGGGTTGGGGACCCTGTATTAAAAGATGAAGTTTGTTTAGTGTTCAAATCACAAAAATGGACCATATTCAGAATGAAACAAAAATATATCAAAATACCTTCTATGTTTCCAGTACCATATGCGAGTGGACTTGTTCCTTATTTTGTTCATTACAATAAAGTGGTGTCTTCTAGCTTTTGATATCTATATATTATTAAACAATATAAATGTTAATATATGTTGCATTCACAATTGATGTGATATGTACTACCAAATTTTGTGTAACTTTTTTACAGAATGAAAGTACGTAAAATGTTTTTTAATAAGGTCCAAGTAGTTTCCTGCTGGATATGTAGTCAAAACATGTGACTATGGCTTCTCCTCCTATAAAAAATACTTCATCTTAACCAATAGCTTCAAACAAAATATGTTAGTCTCTACTTGTTCATTAAACATATTTCTATGCCACTCCAAAAAACCAAAACAGCTTCCATAGAAAAAAAAATACAATATGAAACATATCCAGTACAAAAAGTAAAAACATAACATGGTACAATATACAAATAAAAGAAAAAATGGGAGGGAAATAAGCAATTTGGTACTTGCAAAACTTTTGGGCAACAATTGGCATATTACCTTATCACTGAGCTCCTAGCTGGGACATATTAAAATCCAAAACATCTGGATAGAGAGGGCTGTTGTACACTTTTTTGCTGCACAATTTTTGAAAATTTTCTAAGTTCCTACACTTAACACTCTCCATAGAAAATTTACCAAAGCAAAAGAAAGCCAATGAACAAATATTAAAGAGCATCTTTCTATGACTGTGTAGGATTATCTCACCGAGCTTCTTTTGCTATTACTTTATTTATCAAACTTGTTGACCCTGCTTCATAGAGGGGCTCTTAGTAATAGTAATAGCCAGACCTGTAATTTTCCCAAAGTAGCACAATAGCAAAAACAATGAATTTCTTCTTTTGTTTTTGAATAGTACCTAGTGGTATTACTTGCTCCATACCACCTCAAAGTAATGATAAGTATATTATTTCCTTTTTACACAATCAAATTTCTTCTCAAAATTGTTTTAGTAAAGCCTGAAAAGTGTTAAATATTTTAAAACAATATTATACAGATATTTCATGTTTTAATGCTGTATCACATTAAGAAAGTGATATTTTATTAGAACTATATTAACCTATCTTTACAAAAGCACTGGATTTGTATAAGAACTATAATCTATTTTTGATGTATTCAAAGGTAGCTTGCTACTAAAGGATTAAAATTCTAGTGACAGAAGGATAAAGAGATAACATTCCCAATTGTAACTTCCTAAAATAAAAAAATCAGCAATTGAAACATATCTATTTATCTCCCAAAAACAGAAGGGCAAATCTTAACAGAGAAATTGCCTTTCATTTCTGTTTCACTAACAGGTACTGATTGCATCTGGGAGCAAAGCTCTTCTAACCCTCATTTGAAGTTTGGGAGCAAAGCTCTTCTAGAATCATTTGAAGTTTGATTTGATTCTGGCTATCTTCTGCTATTTGCTGTAAGAGCACAATCAAAATTAATTTTTAACACATTATAAAATCTTGCTTACAGAGGTTGTTCTAACAGTAATCTCTTAATTCAAACGACTAAAACTATCAGTAAGAACCATGGGCATTGAAAAAATATAATTAAATACCTTCAATTTTAGTTCACTTGGGTAGTATAGCGAAAATAGGAGACTAGAAAAAGGTGAAAATAGGAGACTAGAAAGAGGTTTAGTGTTAACACTAAACTTCTCATCATTCCTTGCCTCCTGGACGTTGGTGTTCTGCTACTGAAGGGATACAAGATTGGGAAAGATCTCTAATGATTTTCAAGAATACAAGATAAATTAAGCTGAAGAATTGTTTAATTCTCCAAGTGTGTGAACACATGAAGCATTCATATAGTCTCATTTTCAACCGTAATGGAGTAATTTCTTACTATCATGTAAGATATTTACAGCTTAATTTTATCAATCTCTTCCACATATTTGGTTATCAATGCCTTTTTCGTGTTCAATTTTTGACTCACTATGCAGTTTCTTGTTCTTTTATTTTCTTCTGATATCTGTGTCAGTGCTTCATTCAATTAGATTCTTATAATTCATAATTTTTGCTAACTTATTCACAGCCTAGGAAAGAATGTAAGAAAGAAACGTTGCTATAAACATGCACTAATGATGTTACCTGGTTGGGAAATGAAATATCTGCAAGAAAACAACCAAGCTTAGAAAGCATAAAAGACCCTACAGTGCAGTTTCTCTATCTGATTAAAACTTAATATATTTCCTTCTCTGCTTCCTTTTGTATAATATTGCAATAATAACTGTGCTCACTTTCTCATCACCTCACTCATATATGTGTGTGTATTATGAGTGCGTGTATACACACACATATAACTCAATAAATAACAAAATAATTATTACTTCTGAAGTTAAACTTCATGAAATCAATCACATTTTTAAAGTAATACTCACTTTGAAATTACTAGTGTTTCAAAAGACAGTATCGGGTTTCGAATAAATTCTTGACTTCAACATTTGGCCTTTTCCAACACAATGCACTTCAATGATGAGAAATGTAGGGTTCTGACTTTAGGTAGGAATAATCATATATATGGTTACAAGACTGATTGGTATGTGGTTTGGCTCTAGTATTTGTTAGAAGAATCTAGATATCCTGGTAGACCACAGATTAAGCATGATCCAGTGCAAGTTGCCAAAAGATCAAATGCAACCTTGGGCTGTATCAAAAGATGTGGTGTTCTGATTATGGTAAGTAGTATTTCCACTCTGTTACATTAGTTCAGGCCACATCAACAATTTCATGTCCTGTTCTTGTCAGCACAATACAAGAAAGATGGTGAAGACCTGGAACCAGTACAGAGAAGAGAGATAAAAAAATGAAGAGAGATTTGAAAGCTAACTCCTGTATAGAGTGGTTAAAAGAACTGGGCATGTTTAGCCTAAAACTTCCAGGTGGAGACATAATAGCAGATTTTCAATACTTAATGGCTGTCACAGGAAAAGAGGCCATGAATTTATTATGCCTATTACCTGAGGGTAGAACAAGAACCAATCTTTACAGAATGGGATCTAAACTTTTATGGAAGAATTTCCTTAATAATGTGAGGAATTTTAAGTAAAGTAAAGCCTACCTCCTGGAGTGGTGGACGCTCTATCAGTGAACAAAACAAATAATAATGATAAACAAAACGAAATTGGTTCTAAGCAGCTGTGCTGTTGGTCAAGACAAAATTAGATGGGCATCAAGCATAGCTGATGATTTCTTTTTAGTGATGGCAATACCAAAATACCTACAAACAAGTGATGAGACTAAAGCTGTAAGACTGAACAACAGTCCACACAGACGAACCTTTGCCTCGGCTAAAACGCGACTTGCAAAGAGAGGAAACCGATTGCGGCTGCGCGCGGGGAGCTTTCCCTCGCCCCTCCCATCGAGATTCCGTCTTATCTGCCACTGAAATATTGCTTCAGTCGGCCTCTCCCTTCCCTGTCAAGTAAACAGCGACTTTTGCCCTATTCGGTCTGGCATTGAACTCCGCATTGCCACAGTAGTATTACTTAAAAAAAAAAAAAACTACTATTCCCAGCAGGCTTTAGGGAAAGAGTTGCGAAATAAACGAGGATATATAAGATGCATCTCGGGCAATGTGAAGTTCAGGCTGCTCGGCGAGTTTCGGGGTTGCTAGTTCTTCTGTAAGGCGTATTTTTTAAATTCGGTATTATTATTATTATTATTATTATTATTATTATTATTATTATTATTA